TTATTGTAGAATAAACAGATTTGTGCAAAGTTTGTCCATTAGAGGAATATTTGCCATCCATAAGGAATGTTGGCTTTGCAGAAGGTCAGCTGTGATTCCCTCTCTGCAGGACTGTGTGTGCTCAAATGTACCTTTATGCTGGGATGCAGACACCAGTCAGGAGCAATACATCTGTTTTAGGTGGCTCTTTGAGTGTGTATCACTGGGAATTTAGTGCAGACTATAGCTCATGCAATAATAATTGATTTCAGAGGTTCCCATGGGTTATTTAATTAAACCTCAAAAGGTCAGACTGTATCCATGGATCTGCAATACTCATAGTGTTTTGTTTATCGATCAATAATTTCATGTCTGGTATACTTAAAATTATGTAAACTTGCCACAGATTTTTAACCTGTAAGCCCTGTCAGATTTATCTTAATATCCATTAATATTCTTTACAATTAGCTATGTTTTGCTGGTGGAAAAGAGCTGCTGCAAAGGCAACTGGATAGGTGAGGAGGTAATAAAACACACTACTTAGTGTGCTGTAATTGGGTGTCAGTGAAAATGAGATTATTTAGTTTATTTAGTAATTGCAAAATTTATTTTAGATGCCTGTGACATTTAAACTGTCCATTTATACACCATAACCATTCTATTCTGATAATTATAATATCAGTCTGTTTGCTGCATTTAAAAGGCTAGAAGCTAATTAGAAGCTCATTTGGAAAAAAAAGCATTTAATTTCTCTGTAAACTGCTGGGTCCTAAGTCTCTCCTCTTTTCTCTCTCCCCCTAACCCATAGTCTGAGACTAAAATCAAGTGCTGCCAGATATTAACTATCATAATCACTGACCTTGTCATTCCATTACATCAGGCACAAAAAGCATAGTAATTTTTGTTAAATCACGTTCCCATTTTAGCTTCCACATGTTGTTAGTGTTTTTCTTACAGCAAAATGTATAATTGAGTTGATGATTTTTATCTGTTAGAGAAAAATATAATTAACGTGGTGAACTAGGGCTGCTGTGTAACAGAAAAGATCTGAGATGGCAAGATGACAGATCATAAGAACAACTTCAGAAGGGAGATAGATAATATAAATACAACTGGCTTGTCTGTGGCCATTTCCTTTTGCTGCATCCACGCCATAAGGAGTTTACTGCACTTGTGGAGTACACAAAGAATTCCTGGAATAATTCTACCTTTCCTGTGTCTTTCCTTTTGGAGAAGTATTGGCAGCAAAAGGAAAATCCTTTTCTTAGATTTCAAATACCTTTCTTTAGAGGTTGTGTTGCCTTGGGGCCCTTGATGTGTCTGTATGCTCATACTCTGCATACCTGGGAAAGTCATACCCAAATTTTAATAAATTTATATTCCATAGATTACTTAGACTTATTTTCTTGACTGATCCTTTCTTTACCAGCTCCCCACAACTATACAAACTTTAAACTGATTAATCTCTCTTGGATTTTTTTGTACTTTAATTCTATAGATTCGATAACAGTAGATCCTCATTTAAGTGGAGCTGTTGAATCAGATGTGCTAAATACCTGTTGAGTGTGTGTAATACAGTATTTTGCTCTTTGCAAAGGAGAAACAAGAGAAAGCATTTAATAATAATAATAATTTATGCAAAAAGTCATTCTATCAATAAAGTTTTCAGAAATCTACAGTCTACATCTACTTTTGCTAATGAAGAAGAAAGAATTTCACCTGCTCTAAAGGGCTGTGCTCATAGTGCTTAGGGACATGGTTTAGTGGTGGAACTGCAGTGCTGAGTTAATGATCTTAGAGGGCTTTTCCAGCCTTAGTAATTTTATGATTTTACTCTTGCTGCCTGTTTTTTCTACCAGACAGACTTGTGTTTCTATCCCTCCTCTTTCTTTTCAGACTGCTTTATATAATCCCCTCCTTTCATCCCCTCCAGTGCAGATCACCCTGCAACACTGCATCACAAAACTGTGGAGGTGCTGAGCCGAGTCCCACTGACTCTTCTAGTGTTGATTTAGATGCAGTAGAGTCAGAAAAGACTCTTTGAACTCCAGCTGGCAATCCATCAGGTGTTTTGATGTTGTACCCTAACAAAAAGGGAGGTTATCACTGCTCCTCTAACCCACAGTGATATGTGGTAGTGTTATAACTGTGCAAAATGCATTTTCCCCCTGCTACAAAGCCACTTCAGAAAGCACATCAGATGTGTGGTGATAAAGGATGTGGGGAAGATTTGACCTTGCTGCCAACTTCTTGCCTCCCAAAGAGCAAGGATTGCTCTGAAGTATTTCTTTCCAGTTGGATAATTTCTGCCTGTCCCTAAAAGCTTTCAGTAGCTCGTTTGCACTTCACTCCTCCTTCATTTAGTTTTGCCCATGGCACCACAAGGTAGGCAGGCAGAGAGAAAATGTAAAATATTAGCAGTCAGGTTCCAAGAGCAAATTTCTTGTTCTTAAACTTAATAGAGAGCAGTGCATGTTTTGAGGAAATATAAACTACTTTTGGGAGTAGTCACAGTTAAAATATAAAAGAAACCTTAGACTTGCCTTAGATTGGCAAAGCTGGCAATGCTGTTGGAGCAGAGCACTGTTAATTTTGCAGGAATTCTATTCACTGACAATGGTGCCCTGCATTTCTGTGGCCAGAAGACAGACCCCAGGGAGCTGCTTGCCCTGCCTGTTATACATGTGCTTGTTTAACTAGTGACATTGTTTTGTCTTGTTTAGTTCAAATAGCTACCCCTTAAACACTATATTAAATGCATGGTCATGTGTGTAGACTATGTTAAGACAGATTTTGAAACTGGACAAGTCGAAGTTCAAGGTGCCTGATAATTATAAATTTGTTTCCTTGGACCATATGCATGTGGATTTAGATTTTAATTGCATTATTGAATTATTTTTTACAGTAGATTTTTGCCCAGATGATTCTTGTGGGTGACACTGAAACCAGCTCTGTGTTGAGATGAAAGACTGTTGATGGTAAACTCCTTATCTGCAACTGTCCCAGTGGTTGGAAAGAGGACTATAAATGAGACAGGATATTTTAGCAAAGAGAAGGATCATTAAGATCACCTCCTGGTGAAAGCAGCTGCCCACTCTCATGAAGAATGCATTCGACTCCTGCCCATGCTGGAGTGAAAATTTCCTTTGAGATCCTTTTTTGACTAGATGGTCACTACCTCTGAAAATCTTATTTCTGGATGCCTGAATTGGAGCTCTGGGGCCTGGTCTGCCAAACTGCAGTCACTCACAGCTCTGATTAGCATCAGTGAAAGCTATATTTAAAACACATACAGTGCCATGAAACCCACAGTTTTCTCCTGCTCTCCTGACAGAAAGTCAGGTGGTGACCCAATAAAAACATTTCAAACCCATTACTTGAACTTGGTAACACTTTGCACACAGTTTAAATGGTGATCTTACCCTGAAACTTGGTAGTGTATTTTAATACAAGGCAGTTCTGTCATCCCTGGTTACAAAATAATATTGAAAGGGGGTGACAGCTTGCTTGAACTCAAGGAAATTCAGACAAACTGCAGTGACTTCCCTTCAGAATTCAGTGCCTTTCTGACGGAAGACATGATTTTGCAGTAATTGCCTTTTGCTTTCCAGCAAGTGTAAAGTCAATCTGTAGAAGTTTTCAGCTGATGCCTTTTCAAACTGTACCTGCCTGTCAAAATAATGATACTTAGAGGTGCCACTGAGTGGCTTTCCCGTGGTGGCTTTTCCGTGCTGTTCACAACGCTTTGCAAACAGGAACGTGAGTAGTCTTGATGTACAAGTTGACATTGTTGTGCATAGTTAAGGGCTAAATTGAGCATAAACCAAAGGCATAAATCAAGAGAGAAAATGTATAAGAATTTTTATAACATTTTAGTTGTCATAATGAACACTGGATTGCAAGTTGATGCAAAAAAATATTCTTTTGACTTTTTGTCACGTACAGTTTTAATTCATGGATCATATCATAGATCTTTTCCAAGACAAATCCCAAGAATGCACAGATTTGTGTATAGTTGTTTAATGGTTTTGCATGTATTTGTGCTTTGACAACTATGATATTTTAGTTTTTCCAACCAAAAGGCCAATCTGCCACGACTTTTGTCGCTTTTTACCAGCTCAAGCCTTCACATTTAGCTGTGTCTGGTACCTGAGGTTCCTTGTGTTACATGTACTTTGGAAATATGACTCACTATAAATAAACCAATAACTGCTACATCTTGATAACCTCCATTAGCATAGCAAACCCATTTTATCTATGGCTAAGTGTATGCATATATCAGAACTTCCAGTGTAAGAATCATAACCATTTGAGTAAAATTGACATAATTGCTACAGTTTCAAAAAAAACTTAATGACACGTAATTAAACCTGAATCTTATGAATTGACTAATATGGATATAGAGCAATGTCCTCGTACTACACCTTCGCTCTATGAGAAGCTTTGTGTCTCTCAGTGGTATTACTAATTCAAGGAAGGGTTTGAAGTTTTGAACTCATGTATTTCTAAATTCTTTTTGTGTTTCCATTAACTACATTGTCTAATCTTGAAAAAACTGGCTCTCTATTTCCAGTCTGATGCCATAACATGTTACCTCATTTCAAAAACATAAGTCATCATCGATGACAGTCTTCTCTCAGTACGTAAAAATACTCAAGAAGTGTTTGTGTAACAGAAACTTCTAAGCAGAGATAACTTTTGGAAATACTACTTGATCCTGAGGTTTAATTTTGAAATCTTTGAATAACTTGATAGGGCTGATCATGGAGGAGACCAAAGAAGTGTTCATGAGGGAAAGAGATTGATAGACTGGAGACTGAGGAGGAATAAGAACACAGTAATCTTCTACACATTTTTCTCTGCAGTTGATGTGTAGCACATTATGTTCACTGAATCCAAATAAATTATTACTTTATACAGTAAAAGGATCTGGAAAACTCCAAACCTGATGTATTTAGTTGTTAAAATCTCGGCCGATCATTTTTTTAAAACTAATGTTCAGTGTTTTCATTCTGTCTCAGGTTCCCAGTCTGAACCTCCCTCGTGCAGTGCCAGTTCCATCACCTGCCCATCTGCCTGCACCTGCAGCAACAATGTAGTGGATTGTCGAGGAAGGGGCTTAACAGAAATCCCAGCTAACCTGCCAGAGGACATTTGGGAAATGTAAGTGCCAGTGTAATGCGATCTTTTCCTTGTCTCTCCATTTTTATTCCTTCTGGGGGAATAAAGGCCTTCTGTGTGGAAGAAAGGCACATGTTTTGAAAACTATTCTGTTATCAGGTATAGTGTAGTTGTTCTCTTTGGTTTTGTTCTCATCTAAGAGCTCAAAACATTCTTTATTGTAATTTAAGATATTGTTTGACGTTGCCCTACCTAAAAGCAAGATGAAGTTCTTGGTGTATTAAGTTCAGATTGTGTTTGCATCTCACAAACCTGGAATTACAGTTCTGAAGTCAGTAAAAGAAACACACAGTCCTTTTTTATTTCTAGCTAGTGATTTCCCCATGAGATGGAAGGATGTCTTGATAGTTTGGCAGAACGCATTTATAATGAATTAGGACATCAGAGCACATTGTCCCTGCTGATTTTACCTTCTATTTCTTGTCTTCCACATTTTGTTATTCCCAATTCTTTAACAACTTTGTGACCTGTGTGGTGAAATCAGATGCTAGTTTTACAGGCTTATTTGTCTTTACTACCTTTAAGAATCGGAATCTTCTATTTTTGTGTCCATGACTTCATGCTACTGTGGTCTTGAAATACTGTTACATTAAACCAGTTTGCTTTTGGTTAGTCCATAGGGAATGCAGATCAATTCTTTTCCTATTTAGGTGCTTGTCACACAGAGTTTTCTGACATCCAGCCAGCTTTTACAGTCTATACTGTATGAACTCAAATATTGGGTAGTCACCGGACTCATCCATCTCTTGTTGCTGTAGATGTACTGCTACATAGCAAAATTCACTACAATAAAGAATAAATTCATAGGATCATAGAATATTAAGGAAGGGATCCTAAATACCATCTCATTCTACCCCTCTGCCATAGGCAGGGACACCTTCCACTAGCCCAGGTTGCTCCAAACCCCATCTAACCTGGCCTTGGACACTTCCAGGGATGGGGCAGCCACAGCTTCTCTGGGCAACCTGTGCCAGGGCCTCACCACCCTCACAGGGAAGAACTTTTTCCTAATATCCCATCTAACCCTGCCCTCTGGCAGTTTCAAGCCATTCCCCCTTGTCCTGTCACTCCAGACCCTTGTCCCAACTCCCTCTCCAGCTCTCCTGGAGCCCCTTTAGGCCCTGGAAGTGGCTCTCAGATCTCCTCGGAGCCTTCTTGTCTCCGGGTGAAACCCCCCAGCTTTCCCAGCCTGGCTCCAGAGCAGAGGGGCTCCAGACCTCTCATTGTCCTCTGGACTCACTCCAACAGGAGCTCCCTGTCCTTTTTACCCCATGGGCCCATGAGCTGAACGTGGCACTCCAGGTGGGAGTCCCACAAGGGTGGAGCAGGGGGCCAGAATCCATCCCTTCCTTCAACCTGCCGGTCGTGCTGCTTTGGATGCGGTGCAGGGTGTGGGTGGCTCTGAGCTGCAGGCACTCACTGCTGGGTCATGCTGAGCTCCTTCACAACCAACACCCACAGTCCTTCTCCTCAGGGCTGCTCTCAATCCATTCTCCACTCAGCCTTGTGTTTGTGTGCTTAGGATTGCCCTGACCCCGGTGCAGGGCCTTGCTCTTGGCCATGAGGTTTGCACGGACCGACCTCTCCAGCCTATCCAGGTCCCTCTGGATGGCATCCCTTCCCTCCAGTGGGTCAACCACAACACCACGTTTGCCATCTTGGTGCTTTTGGCAAACCTGCTGAGGATGCACTCAATCCCACTGCCCATGTCAGCAGAGATGTTACACAGTGCTGGTCCCAATATCCAACCCCAAGGAGCATTGAATTCAACTAGTTCTTGTATTTCCCTTTAACTCAGTATTTCTTTATGAGCCAAACTGTGTCTGACAAGAACCCTTGACTGACAAACTGTTCTACAATAGTGAAACACAGAGCTGTTGCTCTAACACAGTTATTAAAAGTGACCTACATTTCACTCCGTTTCAGTATTAATTAAAGATCTTTTATTCAGCCTTCCTACCTTTCTTCATTAGCATGGGTAGGCAGAAACTTCTCTGACAAAGCTGCCAACAAGTCCTAAAATTGTTTTTGTTGATAAAACCCTGCCACAAAACAGGTAACGCACTTGTCATGGGGCATAAATCAAGCATCATATAACACTAATTTTCCCTTGCTGCTGACCTCTGCTACATATAACTTAGAGGTCTGTTGTGTTACTCTATTACCCCTTTTTCTCGAGGTGAAGATCTTCATGTCAAGAATGTTTATTATGAAATAAAAAATTTAGGAAAGCCAGAAATCTCTATCGCAGACTTGCTTTTTCATAATTTCATAAAGTAGGTAGCAAGAATGTACAGAATGCAATTCATTTTTTCATAAAGCTTTGTGTTCAGTGGGGAGCTGACATCAGCAGCCAAATTGACTGAGGAAAAATGAGTTACAAGAAATTGAAGCTGAGGAATACAGACTGTGTGCTGAACGCTATGAAAGATTCTCTGCTTACAAAGTGGTTCTCTTGTGCTTTTCAGAGGAGAAATGAACAGTGCATGTTATAGAGAAACACATGAGAATAAGCAGACAAAAGTTTTGCATGAATACTTGGATGAAAACAAAAGTCATTAAGCACCTGGAGGCATATACTGACAAAGAAATACTAAAACAAATATGGCTTGGTGGTTTGTTGGAAATGAACAATATAGTCATTTCACTACATTTAAACAGCATCTACAATGAAAGGAGAAGTTGCATTTATTTAGAAAGGGTGCATGCAAGGTAAATAGGGAGCTTAGAGTGAATGCAGAATGGACTTGACCTTGCAGAGGTATAGGGAAGGAGGGATGACCAACTGGTAGGAGACAGCCTCCAAAGAATCTGATTTTCTGCTCAGACTTCATTGCAACCTTGCAGCCAGCTCCTGTCAGACTGAGTGACAGCTCAGCCCATGGAGGCAGCAGAGCCAAGGCTGTAGCAGAGACTTGTTAAACCCTGAGCTCCCAGCTGTGCCTGCAAGAGTCACTGCCCTGCAGCTTGTGGGAACTCGGAAGGATGTTGTGACAAACCGGAGGGCAACAAGTGTGGCTTTCCCTCAGTGCGTGGTTTGGGCTGCTGTTGGCTCAGGACATGGACTGGATGGGTCCAAGCTCTGGCACTGCTGGGTTTATGCCAGGGAAAGGACAGCTTTCCTACATGCCCAGGTGTGGGGCACTGTACTGTTTCAAATAGTATTTCCTTCAACATCCTGCCTGCCAGGTCTGTTTGATGCCTCCTAGTACTGGAGAGGGATCAGTAACTCCCTATTAATTTTTTCCCCCTCTGGCCACACTTTCCCTCTGCCCCTTCTTTAGAATGAAGTTTTCATGCTATTTGTCTATCTCAGACCAGTCTACTCATTCTTTATTTATCACCTCAAGCGAGGCTGTATTTTAGGATATGAATTCTGAACAGCTTTTGTCTGAGAACTTTGTACACTCTAAAACAGTAATGCAGGGACTACCACTCCTGCCTTTGTGCTTTATAATAGTTAGTGCAAGACCCTTCTGAGTGAAAGCAGGGCACAGCCCCCCAAAACCTGGCCCTCCTGCTCCTTACTCGTCTCAGGGGTGCTGGTGCTGAGATACCTGAAGGTACCAGAGCAGTGACCACTAGCACTGGGCACTGCTTATCTGAAGGATCTTAATGTTTAAAAGGAGGACTGATTTAATTGCTGATACTAAAGGCTGGATTGTGGTTGAGATGCTTGAAAGAATAAAAACTAGCTGGGCTAGTATGGAAACTCTTGGGAAAAGAAGGCTGAACTCAAATCAGGAAACAACCAAACACATGGAGGAGAAGGACTGGGAACAAAGGAAATCAAGATAGGTTGAGCAAAGTGCTGTGAGTCTGAGAAGGTGAGAAATATTTGATGATAAGGCCTGAGATTGCTGTCAGTGAGTCTGGGGCACAGGGTGGGCTGTCGGGATGTGACAGGAGAGCTGGGACATTGGGGTTGGGCAGGGTTTGTGGCCAGGACAGAGTGATGCAGGTAAAGATGGAGCCAAGGAGTCTCTTCCCACCAGAAAGCACATGTATCTTCCAGAGCCTTCCTGCTTTGTCACCATGTACTTGGGAAACCCAACAACAATTTGTGTGTCTGTCCCTGTGCACTAGTGACTATCTAGGCAGAGATTAACTGTTTAAACTCTACACAGAGATTTCCTGCTTTCACTGCTGCTGTTCCAGTTTTAGGCAGCACTGTAGAGGTCTAGGTCTCATACTTTTGTTACACCTAAGTTTCCTTGTGGTAGAATTAGTTGTTTCGGCTTTTGGTTATAAATTAAATATTAAATTATATTTTAATTAAATATATTTTTTAAAAGTAAAAGAAAAATCAGAAAATTACAAAATTAATGTTTTTAGCTGCAGTCTTCATTCGGACCTTTTGTATACATTTATTGTGGTATTCACTCTAACAACAGCATAGTCTCACGTTGCTGTTAAAAGCCTGGATTGATTCCTTGCTGTCTAGGGATGTATCATGGATGTACAGTGAGGCAACCTGTGCATATAGGGTCTGTTTGCTTGTTGCAGAAACAGGAAAATGTAAAATGGGGACTGTGGGGAAGATGATCTCATGAATGGTGTTCAGAGAACTGTGTTGTCTCTTCTTGCCAGGGGTTTTATTAATTGATTCTGGGCAAGGGACTTGCACAGACTTTTCCTGGGTGGTCACTAGTGATGTAATCCTCGGGCTGTGGCTGACTCAGCTGAGACATTCACTAGTGCTGAGGACTCACAGCTGCAGCAAGAGTCAATAGGAGCTGTGCTGTGAACACACTGAGCTGTGCAACGCTAATTACTCTGGAAAGCCAAGTCTCAATTTGTAAGTCTGCAGACTTACAAATCAAACTCCACAATCTACAGTATATCCTTAGACCTTGAAAGTGATCTTAGATCAAACTTGGGCTTTCTCATATCAAATTTGCTTTATTACTGTTACTTAACCTGTACCATACTCTCTGCCTGGTGAGATTAAGAGAAATGTAATTATATAAGGCAAGGGTAAT